GGGGATGTGGTTGGGGGATGAGGATATGGGTGGGGGGTGCACGGTGAGGGTGAGGGTTGTGAGTGGGGGTGGGGTGTGGTTGAGGGTGGGGATGTGGGTGGGGGATGCACGGTGAGGGTGGGGGTTGCAGGTGGGGGTTGGAGGTGTGGGTGGGAGGTGAGGAGATGTGGGTTGGGGGGTGCATGATGAGGGTAGGGGTGGTGGGTGGGGATGGAGGGTAGGGGGTGCACAGTGAGGGTGGGGGTGAGGGTGGGGTGTGGGTGCGTGGTGGGGGTGGGTGTAGTGGGTGGGGATGGGGGGTGTGGATGGAGGTTGTGGGTGTGGCTGGGTGGGGGTGGCAGTTGGGGGTGGGGTGGGGTTAGCCAAAACATAAGGGCAGTGTGGAGAAGAAAAGGGCCAATAGGAGGTATATATGTATGCAACATAGGGGCCCCAGCTTGCGGCTTAGCTGACTACTCCCTACTTGGGCCTACTTTTTACCCCAAGGAAAGCTGATTTGGGGTCCTAGGGGGGAGGTGAGATCTCACAGTGACCGCAGGACCCCTTGGGTAAAAGTTTGGAGAATGTCTCAGAGCCCGACCCTCTGTATTTGGCAGGCTGCACATGGCACAGGCTATAATTAAGCTGATATGATTGACTAGGGGGCTGCTTGTTCAGAGTTCCAGCTAGGGCACTGAAAGCAGAGCCGCCATGCTCCCTTCAGTGCTGGGATTGGGATCTTGGAGCTGGGCATGCAGGCCATTCTGGGTGGTAAGATGTGCTCTATAAGAAATCAGTTGCACTCTTTAAGAAAGTCAACACAGAATAAACACGAGGATGAATCTGTTAGTCTCAGACTGACGTAGTGGTCATTGGTAAAATTTTGGAGTACTTGGACTTTTCTCAAGAGGCTTTGCACTTCTTGTCCCGACCGGGGATTACTGTACGGATCACAGGCTAGAGTCTGCAGAGGCGCACAGTTTCGTCGATAGCAGGGACTGAACCTTCCGCCCAGGAGAAGCCAAGATGGCACTGTTATTGCACCCTGGGAATTGAGGACCGGAAATAACTTAGTGATCAGTGCCTGGATGGTGACAGGTGCTCCAGTGAACTCCAGGAAACTACCTTTTCCTGGGACAGCGATTGTCTTTGTGCAGTTTTCAGTTTGCTGCCCCTAACTTCTTCGAGCCCATAAACCCAGGCCTCCAGTGAGGTTCAGATCTCTCTCTCTGCCTTTCCGCCTTTCCAGATGCGATTCCTCCAGTGATCTCAGTGATTTATCAGGAGAAAACGAGGATGGCACAATACTGTCCGAATGTAAACAAGAAGCAGCCGCACCGTGCAGCAGCACCAACAGAATGCGGCAGTAGTGTGGCAGGCCTTGGCCCCACGGACAAAGAGAAACTCGACGGTGGCAGTGGCCACGAACTCAGAAAGCCTGAGGACAGTCAGCAGCTCCTCTGGCTCATCACTTTCACATCAGTGCAACTACAGGAGCTGAAGAACATTTTCCAACTCGTTCTATACCCGGACCTGTTAGGTAAGTGGCATGCTCAGGCGGCAACCCACTTTTCACAGAGCAGGGGCTGGGCTCAGGCCTCATTCTCTTTTCCTAGGCCCCTTTCAGAGCTTTCTGATCCAAAGGTTACCTAGGGGTTTCAAGGCTGCTGGGGCCTGTTTACCCTTGAGCTTCAGGGTAGAGGCAGTGCCTCCTGACACCAATGTAAGTGTTTTCAAGCAGCATTTAAATGAATCAAGTGGGGGAAACTTTGGTCTGATAACTAGGTTTGTATAAGTAGAACTTGACTGGAACCAGAACCATGATCAGGGTGAGGAGAGTAAGGCATGGTCGTGCAAGTGGATGGGCAAATTCTGACCTTATTTTAATATTTGATAATTTGCTCATAATATTTTCGATTTTTCAGAATAGTGCAAGAAGTGTTATTTTTCTGGAATTCTGAGGATTTTTTTGTGCCCCTCATATTTAGTGTGGCGGAAAATCATTCCTAAAGAAAGCCTCGATCTAGATATTACAAAATAATGTACTTGGGGAGAGGTGTTGGGGGAAAAGTATTTAAAAGCAAGCTTGAAATGAACATCATGTATTTTGTTTCATCCACAACTCTAAATCTCTAAACACTGAACATCTGTGGTTTTCCCCTCAGAAAGGAACTTGTAAGATGCATGAACATGACTGGAACCAGTATGCAGGTCACTATGCCTATATTTCCCAGGGCAGCCATTCTAAAATCTGCTTCAAGACTTAGATACCTTTGCCCTAAATATTCTGAAGTTGGTGTGTTTTTGTTGCCTTTTCCAGGTTTGGGAAATAAGTTCAAACTTTGAGTTTTTGTGAATAGGAAACGGGATAAGAAAACCCCGGATTATGGAAATTTCCCATTATTAGAGCATACATGATTTCAAAAAAGACCAAAGAAAATAGAACTGAACTACTTTTTCTAGTTCCTATATATTAATACAACTAAATATATATGTGAATAATATTAGTATGAAGTATATAAGTATGTTACTGTATATAAATATAAATAAATATGCAGTATATGTATTTGTATGTATGTGTATATATATACACATATACACACACACACATATACATGTGTATATATATTAGAGAGGCCATCTATGTGAAGACTATCTGTAAGATGGAAATAAAAGCATTATCTATGCCATAGAATTGAGGAGAGGAATAAATGACAACATATGTAAGTACCTAGCACAATACCTAGTCACAGAGTAAGACCTCAGAAATATTTGTTACTATTACTCCGTAATGTATCCTCTCACCACGTATAACCCATGGCATATGTGACATAACAGGAGAAGCCTGATTAGGAGTCACACATTTGGTTCTTTTGGAGATACACACTGAAATATTTACTGAGGAAATGATGTGATATCTAGATGTGCATCACAAAAATCCGGGGGAGATGCAAGTGTGTTTGAGAATTGGTTAGGGTATTCATGAAACAAAGTTATCTATGAATAATTGTTTAAACTGGGTAATGGGTACAAATAGGGTTTATCTTCACCATTCTCTCTGCTTTTGTATTTGTCTGACAGTTTGCATAATAGAAAAATTGTAATGATCAGAGCTGTAAATTCAAATGTTGACAAGGCCAGACAGGTAACATAAAAGAGAGAAGCAAGCAGGGTAGGGATTGTGGCAAAGTGGGAAAGAATATGTCTTTTCCAAAGGGGCAGCCAGTATTCAGCTGCAGCTCAGTGTTGCTGGCTGGCAATTTTGGGCCAGGACTGCCGGATTATTCAGTTTTTCAAGATTGGCTCCAAATCAAAATGTTTATATGAAATGTTCTTCAGTTCTTTAAATGTTGGTAACTAACTGAAATATGTTTTATTGAAAAGTATGCTGGCCATCTAAATCAGGTATGCAAAACAGACGCAAGCTGGAGCTGCCAGTTTTTAAACTCTGCCTAAGAAGCCAATTTTAAGCAATTTTCGTTCTCTGGAGCAGTAGAATATAATTGACAGGACTCCTGAAGCCAACAATCCAAGAATGCCTTTGTGCTTATCCTGCTGTTCCTTATTGTAAGTCTCGAGCCCATATATGCTTTTCTCCCTGCCTTCTATCCTTGCTTGAAATATCTCTAACTTGATCTTTCATTCTCTTTACTTGGTTCTGATCTTAAGGTTCAGAGCACTGATGACCAGGACATCACAAGTGTCCAAGAGAGAAGACCTCACAGTAATGAATTAGGCACCAGCTCACCTGATCTTTCTCTCTGGTACATTTTGTAGCTCTTCTTAGCAATATGCAGGTCCTTCGGACAGTTTTCAGAAACTGAAGGGCCAAGGTACCAGGCTGGGAAAGGCAGGGCACTTTGAGAAGAAAAAGGGAATTTTATAAAACTGTTATCTATTTGTGATCAAGAAATGTTTTCCTGAAGTTCAGCAGTTCTTTCAATCTCCCTTTTTTTCTTTTTCTTCTCTTAAATAGAAGTAAAATTTAAAAGTTGATACTTTTTATTTTTTAAAAGCAAATATGGCATCATTTCAGTCTCAATAATTCTCTCTGCATCCATTCACCTATCCTTTGTTTTTGTATGTGTAGTGGTCTCTGTGAGAGGGTTCATTATTGTCAATCCTGATCATT